TATGTTGTCTTATGAAAAGCAGCAAAAATAGAGGAGTTGACAAAACAGTTTCTAACAGTCTTTATAACTGAAGATCAAAATGCCAGTGCTTATTGTGGATGATTTGGGAGAAACTGAAGTAGACACTCAAAGGTCTGGCACCCCGGCTGATTTAATTTTGAGTTTAGGAAGATCAAACAGGCAATAAGGAGAAACTCAGATGACCTTGTTTCAAGTAATGTTTTAAAACTCAAGTTGCTAAAAAAAGATACCATGATTGAAATATTGGTATTTAAGCAGTAATTTTTATGTGGTTGAATTTTTTTTAAATATGTTTTTTTCATTTGGAGTTTTATATTGAAATAAGTTACCAACTAGTATTTAACTGAATATAAGTACCTATAAGTTATTATTTATAAAAGCCTAAGTTACAGAAATCTTTGAATAAATGGTTACCTAGCAAAGCCATAAGTGAATATAGCTTAATTTTGGAAAATTTTGAAAGTTATGTTCATATGTAGAAATGGAGAAAAACATATACAGAAAAAACTTCAGATGGGATGCGGGACTAAATTCCTTGGAAATTTCAATAAAAATAACTTGTTGGAAAAAAATAATTTCTAAAATCCTAAGTTTTCATGACAATAAATTGTTTCATGATTACTGCTTACTGAAACACTGTGAACTATATAACTGTTAATGGTTCTGAAGGGAGAATAAAGTAGTGGGCCGCATTAGTGTGGGGATAGTTGTGGAAATTCTATTGAGGAGACAGGTTTTAAACGTAAAGACATGAAAGTTTTCCATTTAGGAGAAAAAAGCTTTTTATTAAGTAGTCATTGTGAACAGAAATTGGTTATTTTGTGGGATAAAAGGGATTTGTAGGGAAGGTTTGTTTCCACCTGTGAAATGACTTTGAATTGCTGGGTTTTGAGTAGATGGCTTGATAACATTAGTTGTGGAAAATTTTTGTGGTAGTTTTACTTATAGATATTGAAGAATGCAAGTAAACTAGGTTAATTTGTTGGCAAGGGTAATTAAAATAGGATACAAGATTTGTTCTGCAAGCTAAAGATGCAAAGCAAATATTTTTGTAATGTGATGAAGTTAAAATACAAGCAAAAAGTTTTATGTAG